GGCCATTTTGCATTGACATAGCAACCTTGTGAGCTTAGCCAAAGCCCTCCCACTTATCTCCATCATTGATTCATCATCTTTGTGAGATTGGAAGAGAATCCAAGTGCATTGCTTGAGTGTTTGCATCTAGAGGCACTTGGTGTTTGTATTTCGCTGCGGGATTCACTTGTTACTCTTGGTGGTTGCCGCCACCTAGACGGCTTGGAACAGCGAGGATCGTCGAGCGGAGGTTGGTGATTGTCTCTGGCTCCGATCGTGGTGATTGTGAGGGGTTCTTGACCTTTCCCCGGCGGAGAGCCAAAAGGTACTCTAATGAATTACTCATGGCTTGTGTGATCCTCATCTTGTGTTGGTTGTGCGGCACCCTATTGAGGGTTTGACGCGTGATGCCAATTAGCGCGTGAACCTCCAAGTGAGTGAATCGCCACAACGAGGACTAGCTTGCTGGCAAGCAAGTGAACCTCGGTAAAAAATCATTGTGTCATCATTTGATTCCGAGGTGATTGGTCTTCATTGGTATTCATTCTTGTGATTGATTGGGTCCTTCCTCGACACGACGATATAACCATCTTGCTCACTCTCTTTACATTACCGCAAACTAGTTGTCAAGCTCTTTAGTGTAGGCTAGTTGTGAGAGTTTGTTAGTTTGGTTAGTGTGGCTCTTTAGTTAGCTTTTGAGAGCGCACTAACTTAGTGTAGTGATATAGCTATTGTGTCGATAGAAACTATATAGACTAGAATTATGGTAGGTGGCTTGCATTTTTAGTAGGCTAGCGCAATACTTGATTCGTCTCATAATTGTCTAACCGGTTTGTTAAGTGTTGTTGTAGAAATTTTTATTAGGCTATTCACCCCCCTCTAGCCATTAGGACCTTTCACCGGTGTCGCTACTCCCCTGCCCCTAGCGAGATTCATGCACCAATCACGCTCCTTCCCATCGCGAGGATCCCTCTCCCGTGCCCCTCACCGCGCGCCCACTCCTCCGCCTCCTCTCCCTTCCTGTCGCACTCGCATCGTCATCGCATGCGCCGAACAGAAGGGCCCCACGATCCCAGCGCGCCGTCATCAGGAGAAGCCAAGCCTGAACACCGCCGCTGCTCTTCCTCCTCGTCGCTCCCACACCGTTGTCCTCGCCGTGCGTGCCCGCGCGGCCTTGACTCCGCCGCGCCGTCTTCCTCGCCGTGGACACCCGCGATGTCGTCCTCACCCTGCATGCCCACGCTGTCATCCTCGCCATGCGCGCCCGTGCAGCCTTGGCTCCCCCTTCCCCGGCGCGGGCATACCAACCTGGTTGCAGCCTCGGCGCGACGTAGGGCAACCATCGGCGCCAGGCACAATGACGGCTGGCAAAGGCTGACTACGACAGTCACATCCGGTAAGTCTAGTGTGCCTACGCTTGATTTTCACCCTACCCTTGCTCACACACCTTTCTGAGCTCTCCATGTCTTGAATCTGCGGTGGACAGAGCCATGTCTTGTACTACGAAGTAGTAGCTATCGGATGGCGAAGCAGCAGCTATCGGATGGTGAAGCAGGAGGGTGATGTGGACTAGGCGAGTAGCATCAGTGACGAGCAGGATCTCTGTGCAGGTAACTGTCTTGTATTTTGTGAAAGCCTCCGTTCTCACAACCTTCTCGACAGTATGCCAAATTGCCAGCGCCGATCATTACTCTGCCCAGATAGTCTGATCCCGTGCCCAAATGCTTCTTTTCCCTGGTATTTTCTATTCCTGTTGTATGAGCTGCGTGCCTCCAGGACGTGCCTTGTTTCTTGGGCCCCTCTTCCATGTAAATCCTAATCTTTTGGATGCCTTTACTATAGACTTCTATTGTAGGCTGGTAGTGAGAATATCTAATAATCCTAACTAAACAGAAAAATTGATGAAGTGATAATCAGTATGATGTCACATTAAAGTACCGATAATGATGGTCCATTGGTCCTGCACTCCATCTTGGTTAATCTTGTATTGCTTCTGATAATGGTTCTGCACCCCATACAGGTTAATCGTGGACTGTTGTATACTTGGGTGGCAATACCTCCACCATCTCACCTCAAGCTGTTTGACATTTCTGTTTTAGGGTTTCTATGCTTCAGCTCTGATCTCATTTGTGTTAGCGAGCTGACGCCGCTCATGTTTTACTCATAAGTACCTTCACGGTCAAATGTGTCCTCAATTAAATTGCTTTATGGCATGCTTTGTAAAGTTTTGGCTTATTGAATTTGTAGGTAATTAAATCTATATAGCTCGCCACTGCGTCGAGGTAATCTACCATCATAAGGTATGCTCACCTTATGTGTCGACACCATATATGTGGATCCTACTGGTTTTTCTTCATGCAACATGAAAGATTTGTGGCCTGGTTCAGTGTGCTCATGCTGAAGAGAAACCTCAAACTTGAGAAATGCAACATAAAACCTATGAAATGCTTTACTTGAACGTTCCTACTTATTTGAGTACTCAACCTATTTTGATTTCTTGCGATGACTTCCAATATTATGCTAAAGCTGTTTCTGATCAGCTGGATATTCTGAGTTTGTATCTAAAGCCCGAGACTTGAGTAAAATGTGTCTAAACCAAATTAGTTGTTTTATATTTTTTCTTTAGAACTCTGAAGACCAATATATATGTGTAATGTTTTCCGTTTCTAACTGTATGCAACGTCTAATGAAAAGAATTTATTCACATATGATTCCACGAAATATGTTGTGAAGGAAACAATGCAGATCCAAGGTAGTTGAATAACTGCCTTGACCTCTCTTTTTTCATGTTTGCTGTATGGTATATGACTAATTCCAATGAATCATTATTAGGATAGGTGAACCTTAATGAATGAGTAAATGAAGGGAGAGTTGCAGTGCAGGTTGTGTGCGGAGTCAGAGTATTTGAAGGAGCAATGACATTAATGTGGTCATGTTTCCGAAATCCAAGTCTGTGCTGAGGGGATCTCAGCACCAGAATTGTTGATGATGCGGTTGTTTCCTACTTATCATATCTCTCTCTGCTTTTCTCATATGATTCTGGATGTAAGTAGTCATAGTCGGCGTGCCCTTGATATTGTTTAACCTCTAGATGACCACTTTTGAGCTGTCATAATTTTAGAGCATGCCACTTAGGTGTCGTTCAAATACTATATTATTTGCCTGATCGTAAAGAATATTGGAGCCATTTACAATATGCAAGAATATCTGAATTTTGGATTTTATGATACATGATATATTATTTGTTATTAACAGTGTGATTTCCATTGTTACGTTGGGCATATTCTCATATCTTAGGCTCTATCATTATACGAGGAAAGATAATCTCCGTTGTTATTAGTACGTATGAATTTTAATTCATACTATGCATGTGGCTTACATGAGTTTTTTCCATGGATATGGATTGGTGGGCACCATGGAAGAGACCTCCGGCTCCATTGATGTTTTGAAGCTTGTCTTTGATTCCCTGTAACTCTTTCAGCGTATTGCTTTGCATGCCGTCTGTCCATGTAACTCTTGCGCATAAAATTGAAGTATCATATCTGCAATCTAGAGAAAACAACTTTCTGTTTTGATTCAGTATAAACATATAGTATCTAAATGTTTTTCATTTAGAATTGACTGTTGACTAATCACTGACAACGTTCATTCCAATGCAGTATATAACCACAACCACGGGGCTATTGGAATAGTCCGGAGCAATGACTACCAATATGTACTTTTTTAACTTGGAAATTCCATTACTCGTCTGCCACAAGGTCGGCAGTGACAAAAACATTTACGGAGTCTAGGATGGAGCTTGAAATCAGCTCTTTCCCTTCAAATCACGCATACCCCAACTCAGCCAAAGCATGAGCAACTCTATTACGTTCCATTCACTTAAATAAACAAACAAAAATGAAAAAATTCACAGAAGCTAGCGACTTCAATTCTTGCACCAGCCCTCCTTCAGGTTTTGCACAGAATGCCTCTGCTGTTAACTCTTGCTGGAGTGCGAGCGCATTGGTCTTCAGGGTTAGTCTGCTAACCCCCAAGTTCAGTGTCGCTTGGACACCTTGCAGAGCTGCTATTACTTCAGCATGGAAAGCACTCAGCAAATGATTGACGTAGGCTCTGTTCGCTTGAGCTTATAAGTCAGAATCAACCTTATTTTTTTCAGCCATGGAATAGTATTTTTCTCTCACAATAAATCAGCCGCAGCAGCAATAAGTCCTGCCGAACAAAGCCGTAGTAGTTAAAGTTTTTTTTTGGAGTACTAGAAGATATTGTAATGTGCTTGGCTATTTATGACAGCTAATGTTTCTCAATGATCCATTATTTTAGAAAAAAAATAAAAATCGTCTTCCATAGTAAATAAAATTGTGGAAGATAGCAATATCAAGAGTGGAATGACTCCCTCGTCACATTTAGAGAATCGTTTTTTTTATAACAGTCAAACATTAAATATGAAGAAATGTGACCTTGGTATACGAGTCTTGTATGAAAAAAACTGATAATTCAAAGAGATAGTTAGTTCTAAAAGTTGATGAATCAATTAATCTTGTTACGATGATATAAACTTTTATGTGGGTATGCACAAATATACAATACTATAAATACATATTGCGATGATTGCAAACCATCACTGATAATTTTAGCCATATACAAAATTCAATTTGTAATATTGATATTCCGAATATCACATTCACATTATCGTTTTTTGTAACAATACAACACGTTCATGCTCAAATTATCAGGGCATTATTTATTCCTGTTGCAACGCACGAAAAAGTCTATACGGTAGAGTTGGTGAGCCTACGACGCTGCGCTCTCTGTGACTATGTTAATTTCATGAACTTTGCTTTTGACTTAAATACCATTTAAGTCGGTATTTAATTTCACAGTATTGTTACGTTATCGTGCGATCCGTGTGTTTTTAGTACAAAAATTTAGTTGTTTCGTAGCAACGCACATGTACACCACCTATCAATAATAATAGTAGTATAATCCACCAGCTTGGACGCAGTAAGCAGCTACGCCTCCTACGCGCATAGTTTCGGAACTAGGAGGAGCTTCTCCTTCCGGTGCACCACCAGCCCGAACTCCTCGGCCATGTCGATGTCGCGCGCCGCCTTACCCGCCGGCATCTCCCAGTCGAAGCGGCGCACGAGGTTCGCCAGCATCACCTCGACGGCGGCCATCCCGAAGTTGATCCCGGGGCACTGCCTGCGCCCGGCGCTGAACGGCAGGAACTGGAAATCGGTGCCCCTGAAGCTCACCTCCGCCGCGCTGCCGCCGTCGAGGAACCGCTCCGGGACGAACTCCTCCGCGTCCTCCCAGAAGCGCGCGTCCCTGGCGATGGCCCAGACGTTGATGAGCACGCGCACGCCGGCCGGGACCGCGAGCCCGTCGATGGTGCAGCGGGCCATGGAGAGGTGCGGCGCCAGCAGCGGCGTCACGGTGCGTAGCCGGATCGCCTCCTTTATGACAGCTCTCAGGTAGGCCATGTTGTTCAGGTCGGCCTCTCTGACGATGTCTTGTCCCTGCTGGTGCTGGGGCAGGCTGCTGCTCCGAACCTCGGCCTGTAGTTTCTTCATCACGTGTGGCCTCTGAATGAGCTCAATGACGGTGTATTCGAGTAGCGAAGCTGCTGTGTCTATGCCGCCGAAAAATACGTCCTGCATGTACATCCTGATGATGTATATCTACCAAAATTGTGTATCAACAACTTCTTGTGCGAAAACATCAGATCAGCTGAACTTACAAGTAGGATAGCTTTCATGGACTCTCTGGTGAGGCCGTACTCCTGTCGAACAGAAAGCAACGTATGTATGAAGTCCTCGTCCTCGTCCTTGAGATCACTCGCCGACGACGCCGCTGCCATCGGCTCGTACATGCTCTCATGGTCGTCGATCAGCCCGTCCAGGAGCTCGTCCCACCTCTTCCTCAGTCGCTCTGACTTGGCGCGGACCACCTTGCTGAGAACGCCGAAGCGAGCCAGCAACGGGAAGAACTCCTCGACGTTGAAGCCTCCCAAGAGGGGCGACGTGTCGGCAACGAGCTCCCGCAACAGCTTGGTCCGGCCCCGGCCGGATGACTTGCCCATTACGGCGCGGCACGCCAGATCATTCATGAACGAGCCGAGCAGCTCGCCCACGTCCACCGCCGCGCCAGCAGCGGCCGCCTCGGCGATCTGAGCCATCACCGTGCTCACCTACCCAAGCATACGTCACATAGTTATTGTGGCTTGCAGACACACAGAGGTATTGTCGCTTGCGCAGGCGCACACAGCCTACCTCTTCCTCGCGGGCGTGGCGGAACGACTGCACCCTTCTGACGGTGAGCAGGTGGGTGGTGACGAGCTTCCTGGCCTTCCGCCAGTGGTCCCCGTACGGCGCGAAGCCGATGTCGGAGGAGCCGTACAGGACGACCTCGGCGACCACGGAGCGCGGCCGGGACGCGAACACGTGGTCGTGCGTGCGCAACACCGCCTCGGCGGCGCGGGGCGACGACACGACGAGCACCGGCATGGCGCCGAGGCGGAGCAGCATGAGGTCGGAGCCGTGCTTCTTGGCGAGGTTCCGGAGGGAGACGTGAGGGAGCGAGCCGATGAGGTGGAGGTGCCCGAAGACGGGCAGCGCCGGTGGTGAAGGCGGCAGAGGTAGATGGTCGTCGTCTTCGTCTAGCTGCTGCTGCTGCCGCTTCCTCGCTCTCTTGCTACTCACCGAGTAGCGTACGAGCAAGAGGAAGAGAGGGAGGAGGAGCAGGAACCATGCTCGTGGAGCCGTCAGCTCGCGCATGAACTGCTGCGGTAGGTTTGCCATGGCAATGGGATGATACGTACTCTCAGCTTGTGGAGTTCGGTGCATTAGAGACCGAATGATAAAGTTCGGCACTTATGGTTACTCTAGCAGTCGAGCCTTTGACTTTTGTAGTTTCCACACAGGACGTCTCTGGACGACGCCGACCATGCTCAACCACGTCCACATAACCAACATGTCCTCTCCTATTCAGTTTTTTCTTCTTCTGAGAATCAACTCTCCTATTCAGTTATCTGTTCTCTGCCATTTCGTTCATTCCTATCCACTCATAGACCTAGCATTTTTCGGACCGGGTCAAAAAAAAAAAAAAAAGTCCACGATCGTCCCATGGGACGAGTCAGGCTGGATCTGTAGGCTGAGCCGGGGCCCAAATGAATGCACACACTTTTCAGTAAGAAAATAAATATTTTGGCCTTGGCTTAATTTATTTTTCTGATTAGCAAAATCTTTGTCCAAATATAGTAAGGCTCATGGGTCGTTCCAAACCTGACGATGACGAGCTCAGAACTGCACCGGGCCAAATTTGCTCATCCTCTCATTAGTCATTAGTCCTTAATCTCCTTCTTCCCCAACTCCTAAAAAAAAGGGGAGAAGATGGCCCGACACTAGCCACGTTGTTGATGTACCTCCCGTCGCCCACCAAACCATGCCTTCAGCTTGCGACGACAAGATCGAGATGCTGATGTGTTTGCGGAGTTCAGGCGCAACGGATCTCGGCCATAGGCGAATTCTTGGCAGAGAACATCGTCTCCGAGAGCGGTGATGGCACCCAACCTCGTCTAGACGGGGAGCATCATATGGTCGGTGGCACCACTGCTTCCTTGGAGCAGCAGTTGATGGTTCATTGCTTTTTCCACGGGATGTGTTTCAATATAGCTCAGGTTGTTTATTGCGATTGATTTATTGGATGTTTTCGTACCTCTCATGGGATGTTTGAAAATATTTTTTGATGTCTTCATTGCATTGCGTACACCTTTTTAGGATGTTGTGGTTGTATTTTTTGTAGGTGTACTAGTATTTAATGTGGTGTTCTCTAATGTTCCGATAGGAGATTTCTTCGGGTTGTTTTATTTGAGATGTTGTAACATGTGTTTTTGGATGCTACATAAGGATGTTCCATAATTTTCTTATGTTGCATGATTTGATTTCAAGATTGTTGCTTTAGTTGAGCGTGAAGCACAAGGCGATGTAGCGGTGGCTGGTGGGATTTGTTGCCCTCAAGTCAGCTGCAATTTTTTTTATTTTTAACCTTTTTAAAAAACTATTTCTAAAAATAACACCGTTTAAAACTATTGCTAAAAATAACACCGTTGAAAAATTATTTTCAAAACTAAAACTTGTTTGGCCACACCAAACTCCCTGACGCGCGAAACACCGTTGAGAAGGTGCAAGGTGATCAAGAAATTAAATTTAGAAGAGTGATAAGAAACTAAACAATTTGTGAGACTTGGATTAGTCTGTGAGAGACATGGACAAAAACATTTTTTAGAATAGAGCTAAAACTGAAATCTACCTTAATTTGGCATCAGTAAAAATTGCATAGCCACATGGTGGCGGTCAAAAATGTTAAGAGAGACAACAATAAATTCAAGCTAAGAAATTGGTCCACAAAAGTGATGGATCAACCCGCAGGGAACAAGGGAGGTGCGGGATCAGGTTTGGTAAGTTAAGATACAACAAGGGATCCATGCCACACCTCACATACATAGATCAAGGCACAATAATGGCTCTAGGGTGCATAAGTAGTCATAGGTAGGCGTTTGCTCACCTGAAACAACTTAACGACAGCACCATGACCATGAGTATGAGAATATACTCCGCCTGGCTTACATAAATTAGTAATGAAGAAATACACAACTATAGCTTTAGCAAAGTAAACATGTTAAGTTGCATAAATAGCATTGGTGCATGAATAAAAGTGAACATAAGACTTAACCTATCTATTTAATTTGAATTTGAATAACATGGGTGTGAGATCAACCTTTCCCGAGTCATCTATTTGGTACTCCCTCATCCATTCCAAATTCCAAATTATAAGATGTTTTATTTTTTTTTCTATATACATTGCTTTTTACTATGCATCTAACATAGAGTATATCTAGGTGAAATAACAAAAACTACGCATCTATAAAAATCAAAACATCTTATAATTTGGAATTGAGTAACTCTATATTAAAGCCAACAAAATATTACTTAGTCATAGACTTTTTTTTCTAGTTTTGATAAAAGTTTCAGTAGGGGACAACCCCTCCTGTTGCTTCAAAAAAAAAAAGAAATTTCAAATTGATAACCTGAAGTAGTATTATATCTTTTTCCACACGAAAATAAGGCCACCTAGTTATCATGTGAGCCATCGGTCCGAACTGCTCGCTACACGTCCGCGTCCACGCGAGCACCTCGCAAACCACTGCAGTTCCCGGCACTTAAAGCAATCGCAGCTGACTTTCAGTATTCAACTACAACGACATGCATTTCTCTGGTCCAATTAAATCGAAGGTCCATGAGCACGAGCACCACGAGAAAGTGAGAAACATCAAAACATTTTGGATGTGGACCTGCTCACGTACCAATTATTGTGTTTAATTATGCAAAATATAAGCTGTGGCGTTCTCAAAACAACTTATTGACAGTTACTGCCTTTTAAGAAACATCAAAACATTTTGGATGCTACCGTTTAACAATATGTATTAGCTTATTGACAGTTACTGCCTTCTAAGAAACACGAAACACGAAAGTTACTTTGACAGTTACTGACAGTTTGAGTCCTTATACTTTGACAGTTACTGCCTTTTAAAATAACTTATTGAAACATGAAAGTTACTTCTAAGAAACACAAACCTTTTGAAAATCACGATATTTTAAGCATACTTCTGACAGGGAATTTAATCTAGAAACGCCGCGTGCTTGCGAGGATGGACAACCACGTACACTCATTTGTTTTGATCAACCTGCAAGAGAGTACAATGATGCGCAAATCTTTTGCATATTTGAGAAAACCTGCAACAGAGAGCATTGCCAATTAGCACGGCAGTGCTCCAACGGCTCTTACTTGAGAATATCTCCAAAAGTTACTTAAAACAACTTCTTAATTTATTTTTTGGAAAAGAAAAAAATCCTCCAATAATTTTGTAAAACTCTCTAAAGATAAGCACTCATAAATCTTCCCCTCAACTCTCATACATATATGCAGTGGCGGACCTAGGATTTTATCACAAGGTGTGTCGCAAAAAAAAATTCTTATGCAATTCGGTAAACCATTTTACATGATCTTAAACCACTTTATCTTGCTCTTGATTATGCTCTTCAACAAAAATTTCAACAGGTGGGGCAATGTTTGAAGCTGCAGCTGCTGCCTTCTTTGCTGCGTGTTTCTGAAAAAGAGACGCAATGTCTCCACTTCTCTTCATAATTGAACAATTCGGAAATTTTTTTTTATGTAATGTGAGTAGTGCAACTAGCTAGGCACTATAGTAAAACTCAGATGCGATGATGGAATCATGTTACTGTTAGAAAACTCACACGCTCCCTTCTTTGATGGATTGATGCTAAATTGCTAATTAGTGGTCTGTTGAACGAACTCACGAACTGAAATAAGAAGAAATCACTCATAAATAAATAAAAAAATATGTGTACACAAGTTTTTTACAAATAAGAAGATCAATTACCTGCCGTGGGAGTGCCGATCAGTCGAGCAGTCGGCGGCGGACCGCGGATGACCCAGCGACCAACGCGATCCCGGCATCCCGCGTTCTGGCCTGGGTCGCGCCGAAGTGCCGATGCCCGACGCGGCGACGCGATCCGCCCAATGAAGCTCCGCCGTGGCCTGCCGCTGGTGTTCGACCGCAAACTCGATTCCTGATTTCCTGTTGGTTCTCGAAGAGACGAAGACGACAACTCGACTTCGTGTAGTTACTCCGCGTCCGCGGTACGCGCGTGCGGAAGCGCAGTTACTCCGAGGCCAGCGTAGTTCCTGATTTCATTGCTTCCTCTATTTTACATTAAATTTATATTATGCATGTATGACAGCTGGACCCCAGGGTATGCCGTGGCCCACCCGGCATATCCTGTAGGTCCGCCACTGCATATATGTGCATGTCTTATACACTTACTACCCACCGGGACATCCCTTTCTCGTGGTTTTCATGCGGTCCCCTCCCGCATCTAGTTTTCAAGAACTCCTTAGCTATTCATTTTTGACATAATTATTAGTTTACTAAGTGATTTTTAAGAAGCTTAGAGATGGTCTAAGGCTAATTTTGCATGACTCGTCTCCTTCCAAAATAGCTTTGGTTCTGACTCTGAAGCAACTTCTTTAGTGAAGTTAAAACCCTTTAGACAAACATTTGGGGAAAAACTTTTAAGTGGCAATTAATGTGGATAATTTTGAAAAATTGCATGCTTGGGAGGGAGGACAAGCTAGAGGAACCACTTTTTTTTTTCTCTTCGAGTCTATAAAAAATGGCACAGGCTCCTAAGTGCTTCTTGTGAGGAGCACCTTTGCTTTTACTCATTTGGTATAGCTTCATTAAAAATTGGTGAAAGAGTCAATTTGGGAGCACCCCCAAAGGAGCCCTCTTAGAAAAGGCAAATGCAAGTGAGAAGCACTTTGTGCACCTCTTATGGTTGACTACCTATGTAGAAATAAAGTTTATGTTTTGGATGATGTAAAAATAAAGAAGCACTAATGGCTCTCCATGGCCTGGTCCACTATACCGTCCTAACCCAGCTAAAGCCCCTGCAACTAGCTTGGCTACTCAAATGGTCCTTCGTCGTCTATTGCTAACGGTAACCCATCGTCACCACTAATCACTAGGAGCGGCGGCCTACCTCTCCCTCCAAAGCCCAGCAGGGCCAGAGGCAGGATATAGATTTGAGGGGGCTAGCTAGGAGAGGTGCAGCAACTCCATTGGGGAGTGGAGGATTATTCTTGCTTAATCATGTGATTAATAGGTAGATTAAGAGGAGATACTATAGAACAACACCCTCTGGCACTGCTAAACTCCTTAGAGGTGTTGTCATTGCGCTGTCCACCCTTGCAACTGTAGTGTACCTCTAGATGAAAATCCAACTCCTGGTTCATCTAGGCTGGTGGTAGCAGTGATGATGTTGTGTCCTAATCGTAAGCATCACCGTGGATGTTCTTCTCTGCCTCAATAGCAACCTTTCTACAAGCGCCATCCATTGGGTGCCCAAGGTGCTCGCTAGCGTCTCTGCCCTAAATGTCCTCTATGATCCTTGATTGCATCGGCACACCAAATGTTGGGTTAGCAGACCATGGTCTCCCCTCTTGGATCTATTTGTTTTCTATTATTGATCCACCATCCTTTAAGGCTTCTCCCTCAAGTGGTGTTGGTAGGTGTCAATAGGATCTCAGATTGCCCCATATAGACGATGTCGATCACGACAGCCCCCTGTCGAGTTTGACTCAAAGCTTAACAATTATCTACGAAACGAAGATCATTTTTGAAGTATTCACATCACATTAGGTGGCCGCATTGGTCGGTGAACATTGACATCCTTCCGTTGTAGGAGAAGGCGAACACGTTCATCGTCTCTCGCCTCTCCTCCTACGTAACACTAGAGCTAGTGCCCCAATCATGTAATTAACTAGCACGTGGCACTATCTATTCTCGACCTTGCCTGTATCATTGAAAAAAGGGTAAAGTCCAATTTACAAGAACTCTCGCCAAAGTCCGGATTTCAACCTCGAATTTCAAAACCGGATAACTTTGGCCCTCCAACTCTCGAAACCGTTCAACTTTCAACCTTGGGCTGGTTCTGGGCGGTTTTGGCATATAAACAGTAACTTTTGATATTTTCGAGAGGTGTCGAAATTTTATATTATTTTTTTGAGCATCTTAACGTCCTCAAATGAAAAAACTCAAAACTATAAAGTTGTATATCTCATTGAGAGCTACAACTTTGGTATAAAAAGTATTTTTATTTAACTCCATACAAATAATATATTAGTGCTAGAAAACCCTTCAATAATAGCGCGGATGAAGATAATTATTATATGTAAATTGTAGACTTCGATGAGATTATTTTTCGAGCATTATTATTATTTCAAATGACAAAAATTCTAAAAAAACTATAAAATTTGTAGATAATAATCGCCTACTAGTCTACAATTAGACATAATATATTATTTTCATGGAGTTAAATGAAAATTTTTTCTATTTTTAAAGTTGTAGCTCTCAATGAGATCTACAACTTCGTAGTTTTGAGTTTTTTCATTTGAGGACGTTAAGATGCTCAAAAAAATAATATAAAATTTCACCACGTCCCGAAAATATCAAAAGTTACTGTTCATACGCCAAAACCGCCTAGAACCAGCCCAAAGTTGAAAGTTGAACGGTTTCAAGAGTTGGAGGACCAAATTATCCGGTTTTGAAGTTCAAGGTTGAAATCCGGACTTTGACGAGTGTTCAAGGTTGTAAATTGAACTTTACCCTTGAAAAAAATACATATTCAGGTGGGTACTCTCGTCTCATGTGAATTGTGATCTCTCAAAAAATAACGATTACAACTAATCATCATATATATCGTCATACATAAATTGTACTGTGTCCACACTGCACACCGATGCAACTGCAACATCTATTTTTGCGCTTCCAGGCAACACATATAGCGTAGCGTACACGTACGATTCTATACGCGTAATTTTGGAACTAAGACAAGTTTGCTTTTCCTGTTCACTACTAGCCCAAACACTTCCGACATATCGATGTCACATCTCTTCTTCCCCACCGGCAGCTCCCAGTCAAAACGGTGCACGAGGTTAGCCAGCATCAGCTCTACGCTGGCTATCCCGAAGTTCACTCCAGCACACATCCTTCGTCCGGACCCAAAAGGCAGGAACTGGAAATCGTTCCCCTTGAAGCTAACATGCGCGGCGCTGCCGTGCCCGATGAACCTCTCCGGGATGAACTCCTCGGCGCCCTCCCAGTAGCGTGCGTCCCTGCCGATGGCCAGGGAGTTAATCAGGACCCGTACCCCAGCCGGGATGGTGTAGCCGTCGACGCTGCAGCGAGCCATGGAGAAATGCGGGAGGAGAGGCGCCACGGGGTGTAACCGGAGCGACTCTTTTACCACAGCTCTCAGATAGGTCATGTTGGTTAGATCAGCTTCGCTGACAGCTTCTTGTCCCTCAGGGATGCTGCTGTCCACTTCAGCTTGAAGTTTCTTCATCATATGCGGCCTCCGCATGAGCACTGACATGGTGAAGTCCAGCACCGAAGACGATGTCCCTGTTCCTCCAAAAAATACATCCTGCACACAGCATGCTCGAAAAAACCGAGAAAGATCACACCTGGGACATATGCCATGACCTGAGTTTCACGTACTTTTCAGTAGAAAAATTGGCCGAGTAGAAGTAGAATATATACTCACAATCAGGATTCCTTTCATCTGCTCTCTGCTGAGGCCGTACTCACGTCGAACGGACAGCAAAACATGAGTGAAATCAGCATCTTTGTCTCTCGGATCGCTGTTTCTCTCGTGGTCCTGGATCAGCCTGTCCAGCAGATGGTCCCACTCCGCTTCAACCTCTCCGATTTCGCGCGAACCATCTTGCTGAGCACGCCGAATCGAGCCAAGAACGGGAAGAACTCCTCGACGTTGAAACCGGCCAGCAGCGGCGAGGTGTCGCCGACAAGCTCCCGGAGCAGCTTGTTCCGGCCCTCGCTCCGGAAGGACTTGCCCATCACGGCGCGGCAGCCCAGGTCGTTGATGAACGTGCCGAGCAGGGTCACTCATGTCCGCCGCCGCACCTGCCGCCGCCGCTTCGCCAATCTGTGCCATCACCAATCTCACCTGCGTGCACATCGCCATGGATGGATGCCACACAGCTCAATCACACGCATGCATATATACAAAATTTTCTTCGCTTGAGAAAAATTTGTGGGAAACGCCTGAAGTCCTGGACTACTGGGGGTTGTTTACCTCTTCCTCGCGGGCAAGGGCGCAAGGCGCAACGATTGCACCTTCTTGACGCTGAGCATGTGCGTGGTGACTAGCTTCCTGGCCTGCCGCCAGTAGTCCCCGTGCGGCGCGAAACCCACGTCGGAGGGGCCGTAGAGGACGATCTCGGCGACTAAAGAGTGCGGCGGCGACGCGAACACGTGGTCGTGCGTGCGCAGAACCGCCTCGGCGGCGGTTGGCGACGACACGACGATGACCGGCATGGCGCCGAGGCGGAGGAACATGAGGTCCATGCCGTACTTCCTGGAGAAGTCCCGGAGGGAGAGGTGAGGGAGCGAGCCGACGAGGTGGAGGTGACCGAGGACGGGCAGCGCCGGAGGCGAAGGCGGGAGACGGTCGTCGTCGTCTACTAGCGGCTGCCTCCGCCTCTCTCTCTTGGCCAACGAGTAGCGCACGAGCAAGAGCAAGAGTGGAATGAGTAGCAGAAACCATGCTCGTGGAGACGTCATCTCACGCATGAATAGCTGCTGTACTTGGTTTGCCATGACAAAGAGGGTGGTTACCAGCTCTCTGATCAGTTTGTTAAACCTCGGTCTGGGAGGGAATGATAATACTTGCGCCTACTTGGCATTGATTATATATATAGGATAGGAGTTGACTTCACTACTATACAAACGGGGCTCTATAACACGGGACTCTTGTTGCAAGCTCACCTGTTGCGAAAACTAGTAACAAATGAAATTTATCAGCCATGGAAGGAAATCCATCAAGAGTATAAGCTAATGAGAGATATTTATGCGATAATGATATCTCACGGGCGTCCGTCCCGTGACCATTATCCGGACGCCAACCTCGATCACTCATCCACAGACCCATCGACATTCATTCATACGCAGACCCAGCCCGTGTCGCACACCGCTCTGTGCTGCGCACCCCCGCTCGTGGGACGGACTCCGCCTGCGCCGCTCGCCGGGGCCGCCCTTGCCCGTGCCGCCCACTCTCGCGGGATGGACTCCGCTCGCCCGCGCCGCACTCGCTTGCGGGATGAACTCCACACGTGCTGCTCGCCAGCTGCCAGGACTCGTGACTCCTGTCGCAGCCGCACTCCATCTGCCCTGCCGCGGCCACTGCCGAGGTCCGTACTGCCAACGAGCTCTGCACCGACGAACTCCGCGCACTCCGTGGCATCGAGCTCCGCGCCCGCGCCGAGCTCCACAGGACGAGCTCCATTCGTCCAAGCAAGGTGACACTACACTGAAAGTGCATGTTGCAAATGTATGTTTCAAGTGTTTCAGTTGTTTCAGAGGTACGTTGCATGGATTTTGTATAGTTGTAAAAGTAGTTCGGATGTTGCATATGTTGCAATGGTTGTACACTTATGTTGCAAATGTCTGCCCCCAATGTTTCATCTGTTTTTTTCAGACATATGTTGCAAGTGTGTTTCATCCGGATGTTGCATATGTTTCACACATATGGTGCAAATGTTTTATTTGGATGTTGTGTATGTTTTGCAATGGCTACACACGTCTTTTTTCTGGTTTTTCAGACGTATGTTGTGCAAATTATTTTGGACGTATGTTATACGTGTTTCATCCAGATATTATAAAAGTAGATCTGATATTGCACATGATGCAGTCAGACACATCTACAGTAGCCACATGCTGTAGCTGCTGGGCCCGCCTGCATGCATGTGGGTGTGGAGGGGGCGCCACGGTACGGGCGCTGGACACGGAGCGACGCAGGCCACGGTGCGGTGTGAGCCCCCACATGAAGCAGACGCAGCAGACGTGAGCATCCGGACGCGAGCCCCGTCCGAACGTCCGAGTGCTAGACGTTCTGATATTTATGAGCTAGCATTCATGCAAGGACAGAGAGGGACTAAAAAGATGAAGAATCGGAGAGAGATTCACAAGGGAAAAAGAAAGTTCAATAAGCTACGAAAGAAGACTAATTAGATGGAAAAAGCCAGTCAACCATGCGTTGGAACATGATGTGGTGACTATATTAATTACCCCATCCTTTTCAAAGTATAAGTCGTATTCCAACTTACAGTTAAAGCATCTAATTTGACTAAAATTATAGAGAGAATTACAAAAAATTGTGACATCAATAGGTATACTATGAAAATATAATTAATAAAGAATCTAATGATACTTATTTGGTATCATAAATGTTATTATTTTATTATATAAAAGTCGGTGTGTCGAACAAACACCGGCTAGTAAATTTATAATTGTTGCGTGTTAGGCCCGGATGGTGCACTAAAGGACACAAGGTTTATACTGGTTCGGGCTAAATGTTCCTATGTCTAGTCTGCTGCTGCTCGTGTTATCAGTACCGAAAAAGGTTCGTAGTAGGAGGTACAAACGGTCGAGAGAGGGAAAGGTCCCAAGTCTCTGATGGAATGGTCGAAAGGATACCCAGAGCTCGGTCGCTACTTGGCTGCGTGCGTGATGTGTTGTGTGTTGAACTGATCCCCCTTTTCGTGGGGTGTCCTGCCCTCCCTTTTATAGACCAAGGGGGGGGGGGTTTCAGATGGGAGAAAGAGGAAAAAACCTAAGATGGAGGTCGCCCTTCGAAGGTGTCGAGCTTTCCCTTTCCCTTGAGCCCGTACTGCTGTCATGGCAGACCATGTCAGGGATGGCACGTCCGCTGACCTTGACAGGGCGATGCCCTAGCCTTCTTCAGCGAGGGGTTACGTCCCATCCTCCCTGGCAGACGGCGCGGGGTGTCAGGGTGCCGAGCCATGACTCTGCGGGGGGTAGACGGGGGAATGACTATACGTCTGTTACTATAGATGATGTGAGTTTTTCCTTGGATTGTAGCGGTTGTCGTATGCCTGTGTTAGTATCCGCGCCTGAGGGCTGAAGGCGGCGCCTACTACACTGTAACAACCCAAAAATCCACACACCAAAAATCACAACTACAAATTTTTTATTTAAACCCTATGTGATGTTGAGTGACACATATAGAAGCCAAACCCTAGTTTTGGATTAGATGTGACCCAACTAGGTTAAAGTCATAAGCATAGCTTGGTTTTATGCCACATGTGTAATTAAATTTCTAAATAAACAAATCATGCATGCATCCTTAATTCCACTTGTGATTTGGATTCTTTTGCCTTATGTGATGTTTAACTAACTTACTTAATATTTATGATAAACCCTAATATATGGGATGTATTTTGACCACCAATTGAAACATCTTGTGGGATCAACTACATAACTCAAAGCTCAAGTTTAAACTCTAACTAAAAGTGAATCAAAGCGAAAGAAAGAAAAGAGAAACAAACAGAAAAAGAAAAGGAAAAGGAGGGAGCAGCAGCAGCCCAGCCTGCCTCGACCGGCCCAGCTAGCCCAGCCGAGCCTCGCCTGCCCTTTTTCACGTGCAGCCGCTGACAAGCCGGACCCACCCGTCAGCCGTCACGCACCGCACGCCGCCGCATCAGGACAAGCTGACAAACCGGACCCCACGCGTCAGCCACCCCAGCAACAGGATCATCTTCCTCCCCATGCTGACCTCTTCCTCGACCGGGGTCGACAAGCGTGGCAGGTGCGGGCCAGGGGGTCACGCACATAGCATGACCCTGTTACCCCTTGCGCCGCGCCTACGCTACCGCACGCGGGCCGTCGGATGCGCCGCACGCATCACCATCGCCCGATCACCGTCCGCCATTGGAGCCCTTAGAGCTCGGCTATAAAAGCCAACGCTCGCGAGCCCTAACCCTCAGCCCGTTAGCCGCCACCGCTGGTGGCACAACACCACACCGCGTCAAGCCGAGAGAGAGGGAGGTGGAAGAAGCAAGGAGGAGAAGGAAGCCGCTGCGGAACCGGACCTTGTCGGAGCTAGGAGCGCCGGCCTGATCGACTATAGCGACGTAGCTGCTCGACACGGCACTGCATCGCCTCATCATGGCCTCGCCTCACCACCGCACCGCCATCCTACCACCACGAGCCCTATAGTGAGCCACGTCGTTCGCCGCTCACCGCGCTAGCCGTACTCGCCATGAACGCCACCGTGTTCCCGCACCTGGGGAACGCAGAGGCAGAGCATTCCCGCTCCTGAACACGCTGCACACGCACCGCATGTGCACAAGCCCAAGGCCTGGCCTCACCGACCCCTAGCGGCTCAGGAACACCGGCACGACCACGCCTAGCCTCTCGGACGCCATGAATGGACCACGTTGGAGCACGAGCTCTTGCTCTGGCTTAGTCAACCGGTAGCATAGAAGGACCACCACGACCCTCTTGTTGAGCCAAACGGAAATGCGAAGCTGAGGGAAGAAAGGGGGCGACGCCGAGCCCTCTTCTCAAGAACGCCAGCGCCGAGCGCTCTGCTCATGCCATGCATACACATCGCACGCACGCACGCGCTCACCATGGCTAGAGCACAACCATGGCGAGACCACCGCGTCTTCTACGTCGCGGTAAAGGCGACGTTGACACCCCGACTGGCTCCTCCATGATGAAAGACACACCGCGCTCAGCTTAGCCATGGATGAAGCCCACCGGAGCCCCACGTTGCCACACCGCACCTCGTCGGAGCGCCACCGCCTCCGCTTTGCCCTCACCACCGTGGCAGGAGGCGTTGAGAGCTCCCGGAGCCCTTTTGACCTGCTCGCCATGACCGTAGCAGCGTCGGGGAGCTCGTGCGCACCACCAATCTCTGGTACCGCCGCCATAGCCACCACACCGCCGCTCGCCGGTGTACGAGGACCGTCGCCACCGCGGCCAGCCAACTGGAGCCACCCGACCACCACGTTAACTTCACTGGGACACCCGCTATGGCATGGCCAAGCTTTTGCCCACCTTAATTGCACACCCGCGCCGCTGGAGGGGCTCACCGGTGAGCTCACCACCGGCAGGAGCACGACGGGGAAGAAGATTGGGATTTTCCCCTCGTCGGCCACA